CAGCTTGTTGAGTACTGCTGATCTCCATCTTCTAATCTTCGCAATTTCTGAGGTCACCTCTTCCTGGAACAAGATGAAGTCGTTCTTTAAGTAGCTATGCCATTATACCTTTATTATGTGATAAAGCGAATTCTGGTGCACGCAGTTTAACCGTCGTTTTTGCTCTCTCGTTAGCACAGCGGTCGTCATGCCGTACAACAACACTGATCTGACCTGACAGGCGTAGGGCACACGCGGATTTTTGTCGAAAAATATACTCGTTTCTGAACCTACATATTTGACAGGTTTCCAGAGACATTCAAGGCTAGGGTTCGTGTTTGTTGTTTCCATCGCTAGAGTGGAGGTACTTAATTTGTAAAAATCATAATAAGCTCCGCGACCCTGTTCCGCTTGTAGATCAGCTGTGTCGAATAGATTTGTCACAATTTTTAACTACAGGGAGATAAAGAAATGGCCACATTTTACAGCTATTTCATACGGAAGCCATCGGGTGACAGAGCCTGCTCCCCATTCTATTCATCAAGAAATATCATCTCTGTACTCCAGGTCAGCCGAACATCTTGAACTATGCCTTTTCTCTGGAATGAGACATTTGTCTTTTCCAGGGTCAGAACTGTTTTGGAGAAGAAAGTCGAAACAGTGTTAAATAGCAACGGCAAAAGTACCTCTGACTGGCGAACTCCATGGTTCATAGGAACCTTTCAGAGAGCTCTCCTTCAACTCTGACAATAGACATGGTTTCTGAATACATCTCTTCCGAAATGGAAACGATGTGCTCAAGTATCCCATTTTCCACATTGATGGGTGATGCATTCGAAATTCAGTGCATCTTCAAGGTCAAGGAAAGCCGAGGCAACCGGAATCTTCGGCATTGGCCAATGATCCTACGCAGAGCGAAAATTTAGTGCGGGAGGGAGTACGCAGTTCAGAAGCCTGCCTGATTTCGGCGAAACCGCACACCAAGTGCTTGCCACTGGTTTAACGGAATAATCTATGAGAATAGTTTCCCAGAAAGTATACTGCAGTAATTTCCAAAAGTTGCAAAGTAGTCCGGAAAATAAGTTGCTTTACTTTTGCCAATGGCGTTGGCATTTATTAGAATTTCAGATCTTTGTAATTTACCGCTGCGTTGAAAGAGGGAAAAATTTCGCCGTTTCGCGTACGCTGATCAGCTGTAGAAATGAACACATCAGCAGTACAGCTGGGTGATGATTGTCTTCAAATTTCGGTTGCTGCGCGGAATTCTGCGGATGCTCCGAAATAAACGACCCGCTTTTCATTTGACCCATAAGCAACATTAAAACTCGTCTCGACAACGAGTCGGTTTATTCCATGATGGTTGGCGGACGAAGAGAGCGTCTGGTGTGACACGTCGACAAACAAAAACCAGCCACCACCTTACGTAAAGCCGCACCGTAACATATGCATGTATGGATGACGTAACGAGGTTCACTTGACCGGTGAGGAAGTACCTGTGCGTGGGTGTAGCGGTGACGTAGCCTTCTGTTCCTCACGCGCCTTCACCCAAGAGCAATGCCACCTGGTCCGTAGGGGTAATACGCTCGCAACACAAACATGAAGGAACCCGAGGCATCATACGACGAAAGATCGAAGTGACCTCTGACGACGACGAGTCGGCGACACTTTGTCTGAGGTTGGATTGTCTGGAGTACGCGGCGGGAAGTTGGCTGGACGACACTCATGTGATCGATGGCTTTCAACTACCGAGTCGCACTGTTGCTCTGTCCATCAGACGTATAACTCGGTAGCCATGGATTTCGTCTCTCAACTCAATTTGCTGGCCAACGTGTCGCGACCAGGGGAGGGGGGAGGACAGCAGTCTTTAGTGCTTAATTATTTTGTCGACCTTGCTGTTCGCTGAGGCTGCGGAAATCAGGACGTTCGCCGCCGTGTCACTGCTGTTATTAAAGGAGCATCGACTAGTTTCAGTGGCGACGGCTGCGGCGGCTGTGACGCGAATGTTTGACGGGTAACCGACGAACGACGAACGTACTCGACAGTCTGCAATGTAGTTATGCGTTCTGGCTCATCAGTTACCTCGTCGATGGCGCCAGCTGATCGGGTACGGTTGTGACAAAGCGGTTTATTGCCAGTATCCACCTGGTCGAGACAAGGAGGACAAACTGAGGTTTCACTGTTACTAAATGTCCCCTCTTTCATGTTCTGGTTGTCTGTTGCACCGAATCGATCGTCTGCCTTATCAGCAGTTATACGGTCAAACATTTAGACTGTAACTAACTCCCATCCGGTTATTTAATTGAGGAACACCTTCTAGCAAGCACCATTCGAAGCAGTCAGGGAATCGGATCGAGTTGAGGTTAACAGCTGCCTCCAAATTTTCGCACGCGTCGCTGCCGAAACCGTTGTGTTGAAGTGTGATTTTTTTCAACAAGCTGACCCTCTTTTCAGATGCTAACGAATGAACATCATCCACGTGTTGCTGCACGCTGTCTGCTGGTGTTGCACCTGGGCAAGCTTCGGCGACGACCGACGACGACCCTCCAACGACGAGTCCTCGCCCTCGTCGCCTTCGTCATCCGCACTCGGCAGCAACGTTGGACTTGACGCTCGATTCGACAAGGGTCAACAATGGGATCACTACAGTCCAGACTACGAAACACTGCAACGGAAAATGGCGTTGATGATGTCCAAGCATGCTCTTCAGATCTACGAACAGGACTCGAAAGTGGATTCCATTTTGTTGAAGGTCGAGGATCTTCTAAAGCAGAGGATTAAAGTCGAACAACAGACCGTCACCGCGAAAGCCACACCGCCGACCTCGACCCTCTCCGCCGTCACGGAATCTGTAAGTAGCAGCCTTGTATGCCAATTCGTTTTCTCTTTCAAGCGGTTAAACATGAATTTCTTGATGCATGTGCACAATCTGTTGCAGCTTCGTTTTGGGCGTTTGTAGCATATTCATCCTCATCGAAGCGGGCACTGTTTGGTACTTGAACTGAAGAGTCGCTCGAGGTATGATGCCAAACGCAAAACGGATCGAACAGACGTTTCAAATTTCCTGTGGCATCGCCAACTGGTACCCACAAGGATGGTAGATTTTCATCGTTCGAACTGGTTTGCGCCTTGTTCTCCGTGTTCCGGGAGCTTATACTACTCCCGTTACGTTTTGGGCCAGTAGAAGACTCTACGTCCACTCTACAGTCTGTTGCTGTCAGTGTCATTTAAGCGTCATCAGCATTGGAACAGCAGAGCTGTCCAGACTTATGAAGTCTGACCTGTTTCGAGCCGCTGGCAAATCTCGCTAGTGTGAGCTTTTTTGCTCTTACTGGGCGCACGCCCAGTCTTTGTAAATGATAACCCACCTCAATGCGTTATAGCCATGAGATGGTTCTACGGTGGTTGATGAAGCACGTTAACTGTCGTAAACTGTAACTCATTGCAACGATATTAAGTGCTTAGTTGCAATTTACACATCTTGAGGAGGGGGGGTCAAACGATGTATCCCTCTTTTGACAATGTCTTTCTAATCGTGAAGTTTTCTGCGTTTATTGACTCGCAATATGTTCGAAATCACTACTGGTTCAATGGACTCATTGCTCTTGCTGGATATCGATAAAAGTAAAAAAGATCTTGAGCAACAGTCTTGCACAGAGTAGTGTAATCTGAACTGTTTGAAAAGTTATCCTAAATTTGCCTTTCGACACTTTCGACTCTGGCCCTGTTATTGTTACCGTGATCATTATGCTGATTTATGGTTTAAAGGACAAAACAAAGCCAACGGTAAAAGTTTCATTGTCAGCGCATTTCGCCATTTTGTCGTGCCAATGCCACAGTATGGCAAGAAACGCTTTGGCAATAAAAGTTTTACGATCGGCTTTATTTGGTGCCCTTGACCACGGTGAACCAGCAAAACAACTATTGATTTATCTCAGTGTTGCAACCTGCTACATCATCATTTTCCATGAGCGCCTCTCCTTTCGGGTCGCGGAGGCAGACACGTCAGACAATGCTTCCAACGTTCCCGATCTTGTGCCAGAGTCTGAGCTTCGGCAGAAGACAACTGGAGTCTGGAACAGCTGGAGTCTAAAACACACTCCTTTCATATAATCGCACCGGGTTAGTCTTGGACGTTTCCTGGGCTCTACGTTATCATTGGCATAAAATCACTAAGATTTATCGATTCATCGCTGGATGAAGACCTCAACAAGGTTTTGTCACAAAAGTCTCTTTTCTACGATTCCTATCCACGTAGTTTCAACAACTTTCTTCAGCTCATCCTGCCGTTCACGGACCGATTAGGACCTCTTAAGACCCAGCTTAATACCTCTTTGGTTCAGCGATGATCGATTCTTATTCGGTGTGTCCTGTCCATCACCATTTCAACTCTTTCGCTTTTGCTAGCACAGTGCATACCCCTGTTTGTCCTTGTACCCGTTTGCCCTTCTGTCTATTTTTTCATGTTATTCCAAACCTATTTCAATGCCGCGTTGCGCAGTTTGTGGTTTATAAGCACAGCTTTCCACCTTAGAATCCACTTTCGCATGGATCATTAACACTAGAGCCACGCATTGATGGGGACTCCGTTTCAAGTACATGGACTATTCTGAGATAGCACCATTTTAGTCTTCAGTCACTAAAGTTGCTCTATGCCATTTGTACATTTCTGTTGTTTCGCACTGTTTGTTGTGTTGCGTAAGCGATCCAAATTAGACTTCATTTTGGACAAGTCAAACCCATGTCCATTGGCTTTAATCGTCGTTGGGTAACGTCTTTTTTAGACATCATGTCTTCTTTATGATCACTCTCATTCCTGCTTAGACGCTGGCACCGTTAAGCTTTTGGATTCTTTTTTGGGTCCTACGAGGATCAGAATATCGTTGGAAGGGTGGAGTAATAGTGTCCATTCATAATCATACTTTGATTTTCCCAATCGACTTTCTTGACAACCTCTTCCAGAGCTGCTGTTGATAACGCTGGTGATATTGCATCACCTTGCACTAATTTTTCAGTTATGAATTTGTTGTTGCTTTCGTTAAGCGTTATGCCAATTGTTGCCTTACTGTAAATCACGTTGATGAAACCTGTGCACGTTTTTCTGATTTTCCGGCTCCTCAGGACATTCAATGTTGACCGGGTGCAGATCGAGTCGAAAATATTTTCAAAATCGACGAATCTCAGACAGAAGAAAAATTTATATTGTCTAAATCGATTGACTTACCGCTTTCCCAGTAAGTCCAATTTCTCGTCACGACCAAATTAACTTGCAAGATATTAAAA